TGTGCCGGTTGGGTTTTCCCTCGGTGCGTGACTGGGGCGTGCTCTGGGCTTGGAAGAGGTTCAGCTTGTCTAAAATGGCCACTTGCCTTATGGCCCTGGTGCTGCTGCTGCACCTCAGGGCTTCCCCGTGCAGCCCCTTGGCCAGCCGGGTCTGGTCCCGAATCATCCTGATGGGCCCCGGGAAGTGGGACAAGTGGAGCTGGAGACGGCTCATCCCGCTGCAGCATCCATAGGGCACGTCAGCGCGCTGGGATGGAGCTGGCTGGGGTGGGGCAGGACGTTGCAGCCGTGTCCCTTGGGGGGGCTCTGGTAGCTAGACAAAAAAGGCTAAAAGGGCTCCTTAATGAGACATCTGTGCATGTAATATACGCCCAATGCACTTATATGTGGTATAAACTGCATATATAGGACATAGCACATGGTTTAGTGGTGGGCATGGCAATCCTGGGGTAACTATAGAATGATTTGGGTTGAAGGGACCTTAAAGCTCCTCCAGCTCCAACCCCTGCCACGAGCAGGGACACCTTCCACTAGAGCAGGTTGCTCCAAGCCCCTGTGTCCAACCTGGCCTTGAACACTGCCAGGGAGGGGGCAGCCACAGTAATGGTTGGACTTGATGATCTTAAAGGTCTTTTCCAACCTGGCTGGTTCTGATCCTATACAGGATCCATGCTCACCTTCCAGAGCAGCTCTGTGCTCCTGCATGGGGCAGAGCAGACCTTGTGGGTCATTGAAGCCACTGTTTGGGCCTCTCCTTTAAGCAGCCAGGAGATTGTTTGAAGCCTTCTCCTCTGGCGTGTGTTTCCTTAATGCCCTGTACATGGGTTGCTCACCCCATGCAGGCAATGGCCAGTGGGCTCCGGGCGGTTGGTACTTGCTCCATTTCCATACCTGGTGCTCGGGAGGTGGAACCGAGTCCTTGAAGGCTCCTCTGTCACATTGTGTGCACCAGAGGGGCTGCTCCAAGGGCACCGGTGCTCCCCCATCCCTCCAGGTAACTTGGCGAGCTGGTACCTGCAAGAACAAGTTTGCTCCTGGGTGCCTTTCGTTCACAGGCAGGTTTGCTTGTGTCCCACTAGAGAGATCTCTTAAACCAGGCTGGTTTGCGCTCTCCGAGCAGCTTGTGCTGTGTCTCTGGACTCACTGGATGTTGTTCTGGTCCCTGCAGGTTAAGGCTGATCAAGGCCATCATCCCACACAGCAATGGCACCCACACTGGCTAACCCCCCCCCCCCGCGCTGGTGGCCCATCGCCGGCGCTGGTGGATGGCGTCCACAGCCATCATTGAGAACCTGCTCTTCTCTGCTGTCCTGCTGGGCTGGGGCTCCCTCCTCATCATGCTGAAAGCAGAAGGGTTTTATTCCTACCTGTGCTACGAGTCTGGTAAGGATGCTCTGGAGACTTGTGTGAATAAGCTGCTGCTGAGGTTTGGTGCTGTGGGATTGACTAGAGCAGGGCTGAGCTCCAGGTCACTCCTGGGGTAGAAGGAAGGGATGTGTTGTTCCCTTCCAAAGCCAATGGCATCCTTGTGATGCTGTGATGTGTCTGTAGTTGCTGTTGCTTTGCAGAGTGATTGGAAAAGAAGTCTTATAGATGAGGTAAAAGCTTTTCTGACAGCCTCTTCCACTTGGCCATGGGATCATCTCTGCATCTGGAAGATGGTGACTTGTGGGGAGGGTGTTCTGAGTTTGTAGAGGGAAACTGTAGGTGTCCTCTCCTTAGTGGCAGGAAAGAAAAGAGCCTGGGTGACAATAGGATTAGGGGAGGCCAGTGCTGCTGTCTGAGATGTTGCAGAAGTAAGTGCTGCTGATGCTTTGTTCTTCTCTGTCTTCAGACACCCAGGATGTGCTTAAACCAGGTCGTGTCTCTGAGGGCTTGAGATCCGCCTTCTCGTCCCAGAGAAGGGAATAGCAGAGTGAAGAGAGGCAGGAGCTCTGCCTCTTTCTTGCTCGGGTGCTTGCGCTGTGTGGTGGTGGATGAGATAAGGAGGTGGATCAGCCCGTTTAGGGCTGGTGAGTGTGGGGATGGAGGAGGAAGCATAGGGGAAGAAACAGAGTTGGAAACAAGTGCATGACCCCTCTGTGGGTAATGGCTGAGAATAGAGGGGGAGAGCTGAAATGAAGCAGACATGGAAGTGTTTGAGACCTCCACCAGCTTGGCTGCTTAATCTCCATTGTATGCTCAGCTCATAGTGTTACGATTCCAAGTGTGCTCATGTCACTTGGGTGCTGAGGAAGAGTCTTCAGCAGCTGGAGATGTGTTTAGCAGGACTTGTGTTCAAGGCTGCTCTGTTGTCTCCAAGCCACGGTGGCTTTGTCATGGACCTGTGTAAGAGATCTCATTAAACCTATCAGGTGGAGGCTTTCTGCCACAGAGATAAGACACACACGAGTTGATAAGCAAACGCTGACTGTCTCCTAAAGCAGCCCTTTTCCTGTCTGCTTCCTGAGATGAGCCCTGCTTCCTCTGGGGCCCACCTCCCACCCTTTGCTTTGATGGCTTTCAATTCATCTGCCTTTGCCCCAAATCAGGATTCACCTTGGCTCCTCACCCCTGTTTTCCATGGTTGTCCCCATGGGAGTGCCCTGGCCACAGGGATCATGCAAATGTTTGGACTATGGTGAAATTGCTGCCCTGGGGGCAATTTCTTCCTCCCGGTGACCAAACTGTGCCCTGAGGCAAGAGAACTGAGTTTCTGAGGAGAAACTGATGTAGTCAAATTCCTTATTGTCCTCAAATGTCTGGTCATCACTGCTGAACCCAGCGGTGGCTTGGGCGGTGGATGGGAGACCAGCTACACC